CGCTTCGCAGCAAGGCCCTTCCAGACTTTTCCCTCCCACACCTCATCCATCCTGTCGTACCAAGGATGATGCGCCACGTAGTCCCAGGATTTTTTTGTTTGCTTGTCCCCAAATACGTCACGTGCCTTGTCCAAGCGCGTGACCACACCTCCGCCCAGATCCACGGAGGCGAAGACAGACCGGCCCCGGTGGAAAGAGGAAGACACGGCACGCGCTGAGACCGCACCACCACGACGCTGGGCGTTCAGGATGGACATGGGGGTGCCATTGCGGGTGCTGCGCACTAGAAACGAAGCTGAGGATCGAAGTAGCATCATGAGTGCAAGGGAGCCGAGAAAAAGGCGACAGAAGGCCTGAGTGGGACGAAAGCTTGCGCTCATGCGGCTCCGCTGGTCGCAACAATCGCGTTCGAGGGATGTGAGCTAGTCAGTGGAAAAAAGAAAGATGAAGGGCCGTGAAAAACAGGATGGAAGGAGGGAAGTATCTGACTCGTCTTTCGAGAGCAACGGGACGCAAGGTATTGCAACGAGCTGTGTTTATGCAGCCAAAGCTATACCGACAGATGAGAAAAGAACCCCTCGGCAATCAATGCTAGAATATAGGTGGATCAGGACGCATATCGTTCGTTGGTATCACAGGATTCCCACGGCAGCATGGTGGCACGCGTCTCACATCACGTCTTCGCTCAACCTATCTGAGTCACTTGGGGCGATACGAAGCTTCCCTTTTGATGCTTTTTATCCCGAGAAAGAGGTGTTGATGCCTTCGCAGTCCAGCGAAGCATCGGATACGCACATTTAGAGTTGCGAGGGATTTATGGTTTCGGTGTGCGTGCTTTATATGGGGTACACTTATCGTTTGTGTGGAAGGCAGGTTTATCGCAGCTCGAACGCAACTACAGGAGCAGGACCCTTCCTTTCCAAACTTTTGTAAGGGTAGCACGTACCAATTTTGGCTCACAACAGTAGTCCACCGATATACACGAAGAAAGTGTCGGCGTTTGATTCACCGTCCCTCTCAGCAATATCTTGTTTTTTGTGATGGACTGTGTAAGGGGTGCTCTTTCCTCTTAACCTCCCCCCCCCGCCCGGAGTGGAAAATAGGAGTGCTTAGGTATCAAAGACAATATGAGTGATTAGTATTATGGGTTGAGAATAAGCACAACACGCCTCCGTTATTTCTTCTTCCTTACAAACCAGCCGGACAAGCCCCTGCATCCATGAGGCAACCTGGGGAATCCAGCAAGCAATGGTAGCATGAACAGTACACCTACCCTGTCTTTATATGATATCTTGGGTGTTTCTCCCGCTGCGTCGCCCTCCACCATCAAACGCGCCTATCAAGCAGCTGCTAGAGCCACGCATCCTGATAAGGCTGCGGCTCATTCGAAAGGTGGTTGTCGGGCCAGACCGGGTCATGTCTCCTCTCCCAGGTAAGGAATGCAGAAGAACCCTTTATCCTTGAGGTTTGGGAGCGAAGTACTTTGAATGCCTAGCTGTGTGTGTGGGCTTCAAGCCGGTGCCGACGTATTTCCTCGCAATCCCTTTCTTGGCCTGTCCCGGCTCTCGAAAAGTACCGCATGGGACCTTACCACGGAGAACGAAGAAGTCGGCATGGAGGAAGTGAAGCGGGGAGGATGCACGCTGCCGCCACGAATGTTGATACAGAGCCGACGCTGACCTCAATGAACCTGCTTTTCTTCTGGTTTTCAGGTTCACTTTCTTGGAGATACAGGCGGCATGGGATGTATTGAGGGCCCGGGAAAGCCGCGCCGCGTACGATGCAGCCTGGGGGCGACAGAGGGATGAGGAGGTTGAGGGCTTCATCGCGGAGGAGGTGAGGGTGGCGGAGATGGAGGAGGAGGGCGGGGAGGAGGACGGGAAGGAAAGGTGGCTGCTGTACCCTTGCCGGTGCGGCGATGCCTTTCGTGTCCCGAAAGAGGAGGGACGCTTTCTCGTGGGGGGCACAGGGAGCCGAGAGACAGAGGAGGGTGGGACGGAGAAAGTGGATGGAAGTGGAGGAGGGGGCGGCGGCCAAGATGGAGCTGCTGTGGTGGTGACTTGCGATGGGTGTTCGTTGCGCATCCGTGTCAGGGGATGATGATGGAAAAGGACGCGAAGGACGCTGTTGTCAGGGGATGATGATGGAAAAGGACGCGAAGGAGGCTGTTGTGTCCGGGGATGATGAGGGAAAAGAGCCCGGGGCCACGCCGATGGAGTGGCGAAATCGCCGCCCACTGCGACAATCGCCAAGCTCGTATTGCACACAGATACTCATCAAGTAAAGTAAAATCTCACGACTCTTCTACCCGATGTGAAAGCGGCGTTGTCGTCAAAGTTCGAACACACGAGATATCTTCGACGCCACGCCCACCTAGCCAGACGTCACAACGGGAGGCAAGCGCATGTTCCTTTTTCTTTCTATTCGACGGACTTTTCGCCTGCTTCCTCGGCATTTTCCGCCCCAACATTCGACCCTATCACACGAGGCTTGTCATATGTACCTTCCTATACACACTACACTCTCACTCACACCACACCTCCCCCTCACACCACACCTCCCCCTCTCCCCCCCCCTTTCAAACACCCTCCCTCCCCCGCATGCCCCGCTTGCGTCCACGCGGGGTCCGCCGGGCGGCCTTTCCTCCTCCTCCTTCCTCCTCCTCCCCCTCCATCCCTTCCTCTTTCCCCCCCCCACGCGTCCTCGTTTCGGGCACCTGCTACTGCTACTGCCGCTCCCCCCAGCCTCCTTCCCCTGCGCCATGGCCTCCCCCTTCCCTTCCTCTCCCTCCCCTTCCCCTCCTTGTGCCCCCCCGGCACCCCTCCCTCCCTTCCTGGAATGCGTCTTCTTCTCTCCCTCCACGGTCCGGGCGCGCTTCAACCTCTCCAAGTTTTCAACCCCTTTGGGAGATACCCCCGTCCCCGCCACGCCTGTGACTGTCGTCGTTTTCAGCTCACGGGCCGTCATATTCCCGCAGGCCTTCTCCCCCTCCCTCCCTCCCTCCCCCTCCTGCTTCCCTTTGGATTTCCCTCCGGCCATGCGCATGCCTCCCTTCCCGACACGCCTCATTTCCCCGTTTTCAACTTCCGAAGAGGACGATAAGGACGACGAAGAAAGACGTTTTCCTCTCCCACGCTGCCTCGGTGCCCCCATGGACCCTCCCTCCCTCCCTCCTCTCCCCCCCTCCCTCCCTCCCTCCCTCCCCCCCTCCCTCCTTCCTCACCACTCCGGCCTGGGAGGGATACCTACTCTCTGTCTGCGTCGTTGCCGTCCTTCCCATGTGCGTCATTCCCTTCCTTTCTGAAGCTCCACCCCCATTCATCTCCTCCACGATTTGCTTTCCTCCTCCTCCCTCTCCCCCTCGTCTACCGCTGGTCGCCTCACCTACCACCTCCCGCACCCACCCCGGCTCAACAGCCGGAGAAGATGGCGAGGACAGACGCAAAGGCACCATGCGTGCAGTCAGCTCCATCAAAGCCGTCGATGCGTCCCAGCCTTGTCGCCTTAATTGTCCCAGAGCGCTCTTCACGAGTAAGGCCCGACGGGCTTCCTCAGGTGTGAGACCATAGCATTCCATGACCGCATGGAGCTCCGACGTGAGCACAGGCTTTGTTTTATGGTACGAGGATGTCGACACTGCATTTGATGGGGCGTCCGGGGAGGTGAGTCGCGCCAGTAGCTTTTCCACGGCAGCCGCGCGAGGAAGGCCATCGTGGTGTTGAAGACGCCGCATCTCTTCTTGCACAGCTTGCCGAAAAAGACGAGTTTGGGAACGGGCGAGCGTGCCCGTCCAGAAAAGGGACGACGGGCTGCTTAAGGTGGCGTTGGTGAGGGTGGAACACACGGGTTGTGGTTGTTTGGGGTCACGAGCACCACTCCAGTCGGGCATGCTCATGATCGAGAAGAGTGAGGAATTCAAACCCTCCTGTTTGGTAGGGTTGAAAAAAGGGAAAAAGTGAAGACAACCCGCCGCAAAACTTCCACCATGGTACGAAAAGACCTTGTGGCACGCCATGTGGACGTGGTGGGTGCCAGGTTATCCGGCATGTGCGCTTTTCTCGTGTGTTTACGACTGTCTGAAGATAGAGCGCTGGCGGCTCTCGGGGTCCTCATCGCGACCGTCACTACTGGCAGTCGTTTCGAGCAAATTTATCCGCGCATTTTACAAATTCCACGAGAGGGTTCATTCCCACACGTGTGTAGCAATGGCTTCACTTCGTGGCGAATCTTGTGCTTCAGGGATGCGTGCGAAGTTTGCGACACCATGGAATCGAAAAAGTTACAGTCGTGCGTAGAGACGTCTCCACCTCACTAGCAAGTAGCTTACCGCCGGTCATCATAAACCGATGATGAAAAAAGAACAGATTTCTCACCACTAAACCCTTCGTTATGACACGCATCACAGGCTCACCGCATGCCTTACCCACGCACGGCGACAAAATGCCTCCTGCCACGTGCTAGTGCAGCCGTGGGCATGTACGAAAAGGTCACTCGACGTAGTACATCGCAAGCGGCCATTGGAACTGCTGCCTCCCCTCCCTCCACCCCAACATTTATAAAGAAAACAAGCCCAATTTTGCCCTCCGTCACGTCACCTCCCTCAATTGAACCTAGGTACGTGCAGGGTCTTTCCCTTGTTGGGAAAACGTGTTTCTAGCGGCGTTCATCTTTCTCTCCACCGCGGGGAAGGGACTGATTCTTTACCCAGCTGGTGCTGATGAACAATTTGCCGATGCACACACACACACCCTTTTCTTTGCCACCACCACGCACAGATACACGCGCAGCTCTCCTCGTGGGACATCCACGGTTCATGGCAATTACACGACCGTGCTGGGGCGGAGGTACGCCTCAGCCACTCGACTCGTCCCCGCTTGTCACCTTACCTCGGCCGCCTCCTCCTCCTCCTCCTCCTCCTCCTCCTCCTCCTCCTCCTCCTCCTCCTCCCCCGTCTGGGGCGGGCTGAGTCTGGGATTGGACCCAAAGCTGATGAATGAGCCGTCCTCCCCTTCCTCCGTTCCCCCTCCTCCCCCACCGTCAAGTACCCGACCACGCGCTGCGTATCACCACCGTGTCCTACATGGATTCTTCCACCTACATACCCTTTCCTCACAAGGACGGCATTGACGCCAGGGCCTTTCCCACCAATCCTGCGAATTTCAAGGTACGCGCGTCGGATATTTCCAAATACGGGGGAAGGAAAGATGATGGGCGGTGCTCTCTCGGAAACGGCCGGCCTTTTAGACCTTTAAATTCAAAATTTTGAGCACGAGATGGGTACTCGCGGCCTATTTTCGGGGCTTGCGAGACCTTGGGAGCTCTTGCGATGCCGAGAATCTTCGACCAGGCTTTCTCCTCAATTAGCCTCCTCCCCCGTCCCTCCCCTCCCCTCCCCTCCCTCCCTCCTTCCTTCCCTCTCTCCCTCCC